GTTCTTTTCATCTCCGAATTATTTATCCTGCTTATCTTATCTAGATAGACATCATATTTATTTTTTAATGATACTTGGCGGTCTTAAAAAAAAAGCATGAAGTATGTTGAATATCTGTTTTGTTATTCAGAATTAAAAGGCATCCCTGTAATGTATCATTATCCTTTGTAAAATAACTTTTTGAGGGAGAATGTTTAATTTTTTTGTCTTGGTGAATAGTTGTTATGAGACTTTTAGAAATGAGATTAAGCAATGATTTTCTGTTGTTTTATGTCTGACTTTTCAACTTTGGTAGTGAATCTGGATGCTAATGTACATCAAGATGCAGAAGATGAGCAAACATTCATTTTAACTCTGGTGGAAATTCCAACTGATGCAGTAGAAATGCTTACTAATACCGAAGCACAATTAATGCCAAACCCTTTACTGCCAGCACCCATCTGGGTTAAATCAGTGAATACGGGAAAAAGGAGTGACTTGAGGTAATGGATGAGCTGAACTCCTGACTGAGATTGAAGGTGCTTCATGCACTGATGGAAATAAGCCACTCATGAACCTGTATAATTGACTTAGAGGTCTTAGTAATTTTTGGTAACTTAGAGGAAAAAGGTGGTTGATTGCATGTTTGATGAGCATGTCATTTATATAAATGAGTAGCACAGTACTTTATATGCTATCTATTTCTATAAATATTGTTTGATATTTCAAGTATTTTGAAACAGCTTAAAAAAATTAGCAGTTGGAATTATGAAATGTCATCTATTAAAATTGTGGTTACTTTAAAAATGTTTATATATTTATCTTAAGCTCCATAAAATAGCTAAATGAGCATTCTTAAGTTGAAAAAATAAATATAACATATTTAATGTTATGCTAATTCTTAATTGTAGAAATATATTTTAACAGTCATTGGCTAAGATGTCTATCATCAAGTAATATTAGAAATTGAAGCCTTTTCTGTTAGGCAAGGACATTTTGGGATACAAGTTTAACTTTACCGATGAGGAAAACACGGCTAAGGATACCCATATATTTGAATATCATGGAATTAAGTCGCAAATCTTTAATATGAACAGAGCTAGAAACTAGCATGTTTGTGGCCATGACCATATGTGTATTAGTTATTTTGAACTCTTTTGGTAATTTTCATTGGAAGGGCTCAGACTTTGACTTCATTGAGTAACTCTTTTTTTCCCCTCAGTATGAGCTTACCAGTAACTTCAGTTGCCCAAGATGCCATGTGTATATCTAATTCTGGAAGAGATGATTCTGAAGCGCCTCCTGCTAATTTGAATCTTATATCTAGGAAGAGAGCTCATTTTGGACTTGAAGAAAATGACTATATTCCTCCTACTAAAAAAAGTTCATTCACTTCAATAGATGGTTGTCAAGAATACACCTTGGAGGTAAGATAGCATCATTATGAAACTTAAGATGATCATTTTCTAACAAATTTGTTTGTTTTTTCTTTTTTAAATCATGTCTTTTTTTTAGACTTTTTAAAATATATAAAGGTAAATCTACTTTTCAGCATAGCTTCTCCAGGTAAAACCAGTTTTAGATTGTCTCATTGAAACAGTTCAAGAAATCACGCCTAACTGTATGACAGTGGCTTAAAAAACAGGACAAAAGTATACAGTGGGTAAAAAAAAGAGAATCACACAATTATAGAGCTTGGCTGTACTACTTTTTAGCTATGCAGCTTTAGACAAGTTACTTCATGTCTCTGAAAGACAGTTTCCTAAGGTGATAGATGATGATAGCAATACCAGCATCACTATTATCACACCAAAGCATCCCAGGTATTTTATGATTATTTGGCCCTGTTCTGTGTCTGGTCTCATTTGTGCTAGTCCCCGACTCACTCGCTAGCCACATTGGCCATCTGTCAGTTCTATGAGTGCACCGTACTCCTTTTTGTTTCAGGACAGTTTAAGTGCCGTCTCTGCTGGACAAACGATCCCCTTGAGTTCAGTCATCACTGCCTCAGGGAGGCTTGATTGCTGAGCTGTAGATTTTATGGCAACTTTTAAAATTTTCTTTTCATACTCTTTATAATTTGTAATTATATTAGGGCAGAGGTTCTCAACCTGTGGGTCATGACCCCTTTAGGGGTCCAGCGACCCTTTCACAGGGGTCGCTGAAGACCATCAGAAAACACACACTTCCAATGGTCTTAGGAACCGAGATACTGCTCCTCTATCCGTCTCCAGGCAGCTCTGCCCACATGCAGATACGCCCACATATGAGTACCTGGTGTGAAACTTACCCATGCTACACAATGCTTTAAGACAAAATTTCATTTATTTGTAATTAGAAATATTTCACAATATCTAATTACGTAATTGTTTTTGTGATGAATCACTATGCTTTAATGATGTTTAATTTGTAACTATGAAAATACATCATGCATATCAGATATTTACATTATGATTCAAAATAGTAGCAAAATGACAGTTATGAAGTAGCAACGAAAATAATGTTATGGTTGGGGGCGGGTCACCACCACATGAAGAACTGTATGAAAGGGTCGTGGCAGGAGGCAGGGTGAGAAGCACTAGCACTGTCTTACAGGAAAGCCAATCTAGAACCTGTTCTTGAAGGCAGCAAGTAGCTTCGCACACCTGACAGGTGTAGATGGTGTATACCCCACCACAGCTTCAGTTTCTCTGATTGTGAATGCATTGGAGCACCTTTTTGTATACTTAAGAATCATTTGAATTTCCTTTTTAATGAAATGACACTTTATATTTTTTACCCAGTTTTCAATTAAGTTATTAGCTTTTTTTAAATAATCATTTTATTGGGGGCTCATACAACTCTTATCACAATCCATCCATCCATCCATTGTGTCAAGCACATTTGTTGACATCATCATTCTCAAAACATTTTCTCTTGAGCCCTTGGTATCTGCTCCTCATTTTCCCCTCCCTTCTCCCTCATGAACCCTTGACAATTTATAAATGATTATTTTTTCATGTATTGCACTGACCAGTGTCTCCCTTTACTCAGTTATCTGTTATCCAGCCCCCTAGGAGGGGGTTATAGGTAGGTCATTGTGATCAGTTCCCCCTTTCTCCCCGCTCCTTCACCTTAGCCTCTTGGTATGGCTTCTTTCAACATTGGTCTGGAGGAGTTTATCTGTCCTGTATTCCCTGTGTTTCCAGCTCTTATCTGTACCCATGTACATGCTCTGCTCTAGCCAGATTTGTAAGGTAGAATTAGGGTCATGATAGTGGGGAGAGGAAGCATTAAAGATAAGGTGACCAGACATCCCGCTTTTGGTTGGACGGTCCCGATTTTTAACAATTTTTCCCGCGTCCTGCAGCGTTTTAAAAAAAGTCCCGATTTTTGGAAAGAATGCACAACAAGCTAGGTTATACAGTTTTCGGCTGCCATGTGGCCATTTCGCCAGGATATGAGTTTTATCAGTGGTGTCCCGCTTTACCAATGTTAAAATCTGGTCACCTTAATTAAAGAGCCAGAGGTGCTTTTCTTCTTCTTTTTTTTTTTTTTTAAAGATTTGGGTGAGCCCTTGGTTACATACCCACGTGATTTTACTTTAAATAGTTCTGTTATTTTCCTTTTGGCTTTGCTTTTTTTGGTTCTTACTTGCATAGCTTTTTGATTAACTTTTTACTACAAACTTTACCAAGTATATACAAAAGTTCTACAAAATAATGTATTACCTACCACGTGCCAATCACCAGGTTTTAACAGTGTATCAGCATTCCATGCAGGCACTGTTTAGTTTACTTTTAAACATATTTGCTGACATGGAGGAGTCCTGATGGTGCTATGGAGTAAGCTTTGGGCTGCTCACCCCAGCTTGGTGGTTCTTTCTCTAAGGAAGAAAGAGGAGCTCTCTGCTGCTGTAAGATTTACAGCCTCCCAACCCCTATGTAGGGTTGCTGAGTTGAAGTTGACTCATGGAAGTGGGTTTGTTTTTCTCTTTGATTTTTAATGTAGTGGGCAGAAGTTCACAATATGTTGCTAAATGTTAAGTCAGTCTGTAATGTCATCAGTTTGTAATGTCATTCAGAAAATGAATATACATTAACATGACTAAGTAGGTCAGAAAAGTGTAGTATCTGTTCATTGGACTTCGTTGTCAAATTTTATTTTTGTCATTTGTTTTAGCATTTTGACAGTAAAAAATGAATTGCATGTAAAAACAGACTAGTCAGGGCAGTGACTAGCACAAGGTCTCCTCTGTTCACTCTAAAGAGAATCCTTGCCTCAGCTTCTCTCGCATTCTTCCCAGTGCTCCTTGGCAATTTCCCATCTGCACTTGTCTAATCTGTGCCTAATCTGCTTGTTTCCATTTCAGAAGTAATCCTCCTAAAATACATTCCATAGTAATTTGGTTCGTGAATATAAAAAAGAAACCCTAACCCAAATGGGAATAATATTCACAGGTATTTAACATTAACCTACAGCCATGAGTTGATTCCAATTCATAGTAAGCCTAAATAGAGTTTCTAAGACTATACATTGCTCTCTTTTTAAGTTTTATTGACATAATTTGAGTATCATACAATTCAGTGGTTTAGTCTTATTAAAATTATGCAGTTATCACTGTAATCAATTTAAAAACATTTTTATTTTATGCTCATTATTATTAGCTCCTCGTTTTTCCCTCAATTCCCCTGCCATATCTCTAAGAAATTATCAGTCTGCTTACTGTCTCTATAGATTTACCTGTCTTGCCTTTCATATACAGAAAAAAATCCCATAATGTAAAGAAAAACCAACCCCCCCAGATTTCTCATAGTTGCTTATATGTTCTAAAATTAATTTTAATTTTTAGAATTAGCCTGTTTAGATTTTTCAAAAAATTCTGTTGTTACTTGTATTATGGTCAAATTAACTTAGCATAAATTCACCCTATAATTATGTCGAATATTCCTATAAAAAAACCACAGGTCTTTTTGTTTCAATCTTCCATTGTATATTTCAATGATATTTTAAGCTCTTCTCCATAAAGATACTATATATTTCCTCTTGACTATCCTTCATTTTTATTATTTTTGCTATTATTAGTAGGCTCTTTTTATCTAGCTAGCGTACTGAATTCCCTTATTGTGTGCAGCAATTCTTCAGTTATCTTGGGTTTTCTAGGGAAGTGATCATAGCTACAAAGAAAATATGAATTATTTTCCTTTTTAAAACTGATTTCTTTTGTTTATATAACTTAAGAACAGTTGTTAAAAATAGTAATAATAATAATAAGGGACATAATTTTCTTATTCTTGACTTTTATTTTTATTTTTATTTTTTTTAAGAATGTTACCAAAACAGCTTTTTTCAAAAACTGAGATAATCATATGATTTGCTTGATGGTTTCATTTCATATTTGTCTATAGATTTCATAGGTATAAAATCATCTTTTCATTTCTACAACAAATTGGTCTTTTGATGTACTGCTGAGTTAAGCTTATAAAGATTTAATTTGCTATTTGTGCACTGGTATAAGTGAGACTGGTTTGTAGTTGGTATCAGTCTTATGTTAGATCTGTAAAAGACATTTGAATAATTCTCCTGGTCTCCTGCTCTGATAATAACGTAGAGTAGTTTAGGCGGCAGTGGCAACGTGTTCTCTATAAATGTTTGAAAAATTTTCCGTAAGACATTGTGTGATCCTAGAGTTTCCTGGAAAATATATGCCTTATTTTAAAAAGAAAGAAGATTGATTTTAACTTTAAAAAAAAAACTGATTTCTAATATTTTTGTAAATTTTTTAAAAACAGGTGTGTTCAAAGGAATTAATAAATGTCTTTGAGGAAACAGGTAAGTGAAATAAACTTTACCTTGATTATATTTTGCTGGTACCCCTGATCTTGGATGTATCTCGTTCAATTTTGCAAACCCCCACTCCCGCTGAGATGAGATATGAGATCTTGGAGTTATCCAAGGAATCTCTGGGTGATGCGAATGGTTAACTCACTCAGCTGCTCACTGAAAAACCGGGGTTAAGCCCACCCAGAGGTGCCTCAGAAACACTGAACCATCCACTGCTGAAAATCAGCTGCGCAAACCATGGAGTTTCTACTGTGACGCAGTGGTTGGCGTTGACTTGACAGCAACTATTTTGGGGTCCGGTAGGAAAGGCAGGTAGCCAGAAGCTGTGCCTTTCGTCTTGTAATTAACAGAAAGCCCTATGACCATGGGGATTTTCCCATCTAGCTTTCCTAGAGGAGCAGAGGGAAAAGAAGGAGTCCTGATGGTACAATGGCCAAGGCCTGTGGTTTGAAGCCAGCAGCTTCTCCAGAGAAAGATGTGACTGTTTCCATAACGATTTACAACCTCAGAGACCCAGCGAGGCAATTGTACTTTGCCCTCTTGAGTTGCTTGGAGTCAGAATCGATCTGAAGGCATTGGATTTGGATTTCTGAGGGAAAATAGTTTGTTTTTTTAATTTACAAGAACTTTCATTTTATTTTGTATGCTAACAGTCATTTTGGCTCTTGTTTACAATTTAGGAAAGACAAAGAGTGTTTGAGACTCTCTGGCCTTAACTTTTCCATAATGCCACAGATCACCTCAAGAGTAACCACCTTTATTTTGGGTTGTCTTAGCTTCAACGTTTTAACAAGTCTTGAATTGCTAAAAAACTTCGTTAGCTCAAGAAATATTTCTGGAGGAGAAGAGGAAGGGGCGATTGATCGCAGTGATGGACACATAACCCCACCCCCACCCCAGGGGGATGAACAACAGAAAACATGGGGGAAGGGAGACAATGGTTGGTGTAGGATATGAAAATAATAATAATTTATCAAGGGTTCACAAGCTTAGGTGGGAGGGTGGGAGGGGGATGAAAAGCTGATACCAAAGGCTCAAATAGAAAGTAAATACACCTAATAAAATGTTAAAAAAAAAAAAAAAAGAAAGTAAATACAATGATGACAACATATGTACAAATACGCTCTATACAATTGATATAAGAGCTGTAAGAGCCCCCAATAAAATGATCTTTTAAGTAAAACGAAATATTTCTGGAGAAGGATTTTCCAGGTAAATATGTAGTAATGTTGACTATTTGGTATCTGAATATGAACAGTGTTCCCATAGCTTTTGACCAGTTATGATATTCTTAGTAATTGAGGTAACTCACTCACCATGATTTAGCTTACTCTTATTAAGATTTTGGTAGCCCCGGTGGTGTAGTAGTTATACGTTGGGCTGTGACCCACAAGGTTGGCAGTTGAGAACCACCAGCCGCTCTGTGGGAGAAAGAGCTGTGACTCCCGTAGAGTTAAAGTCTCAGGGACAGTTCTACCCTGTCCTCTAGGGTCGCTATGAGTTGACATTGACTTGGTGGCAATGAATTTTTTGGTTATCAGTGTAAGTTTAATAGATTATCATGATGGGTTTTTTCCTTCGCATAGTACCAAATTGAATTAATCCAGTGTGTGCTTACTGTTTGGTTTCCTGTTTTTGAAGGGGAGTCTTCTAAGGGACAGAATGTTTTCCCTACCTCAGGAAGCACGTATGCAACTCCAGAACCTCAGAAAGAGCAATTCAAATCCACTTTGCAGAGTGTGGAAACTGGGTCTCCTGATGAAATAGTCGATCCACATAGAGAAAGGACTACACCTCAGTTGCCTCCGGATGGGATGGTTGTGTCTGATAAGGAACAAAGAACTGCTACTGCTTGTAAATCTGAACCAGTGGATAGCAGAACACCATCTTCTAAAACCCCACTAACCAGGTATCACGAGAAAGTTCCTAATAAAGTTTCTCTCTTGCCTCCCCCGTTGTATAAAAGATATACAGAACACAGGTAAATAAAACACACGCACACAAACACACGTTTTTATATACATTACACATACTAAATCCAGTACTCAGAATGGTGTTTTTAAAGTAAATTCCTCTGTCAGTAATGTAAAGAGAGAGTACTTCAGCAAAGGCAATAGTAATGTCAAGACACTTTGGGCAGACCGTTCAGTTAAATTCATATTCCTCATGGCAAGAGTTTTAACTTCTTAAACTGCTGAAAGTTGGGCTATTTAAGTAGGAAATCTTTAGAATGTATAACACACTTCCTTTTCTGAATTGTTTACGGTTATGGCTTGATTGTGTTTTAAGTCTACCACTCAGTAACGGTCAGGCCCTGAGTAGAAGGTAGGAGAAATAGGAAGCAGTGCAAATAAATAGTTGTGTTGAAGTTACAAATAGTGTGTGCCTTATTCTCTCATGGCTTTCTCCCTGTGAGAGTCAGCGTGGATTGAAGGCCCAACCTAACTCCTTCCATATTATTTCCCTCACACTCTAGAACAGGGTTTCCCCAAGTGGGCGATATATCATTTATAGAATCAGCCAGGAACTTACACTTGGCCAAGGACCATAGTGTGATGACTCCTGCTCTTGAGCTTTGCTACGCAAAAATTTCTTGTTCCCATGACTGTTGAGACCAAGGTAGAGATTCTGAACTGAAGCCAACTCAGTCGGAATAGAAATTTTTATAACATCCCCAAGTGATTTGTATGTATAATTAACCTTTTGACAAGGACTGTTCTAGAGTAAGCACCGAGTTTGTCAAAGGTATATGTCATAGCATGGTTCTGTTAATATTTAGTTGTGTCATTTTAGCATTAATGGAAAGAGGTTGGTATTAAGAATGCCTTTATATTTGCATTTCTAGACCTGGACGAAGACCCATGGGATTTTTGTCTTTAATTTGTTCCAAGAATAATTTGGAGTCTGAACCTACTCAAGTTCACACTAAGAAGCGTCTGAAACCTCTGATACCTGTGTCAAGGAAAAGTTTGAAAAGATCTAATCCACCCAATAAAAGTCGGCAAAAACCCCAAGGGTCCTCCGATGTAGCTCCATCTTCAGATGCTGTTCATAATCAGTCTGAGAACATCGACACTTCAGCAGCTCAGGTATGTGGTGACCTCTGTATTGTCCTGTGTAAAAAATCGGTTGGATACCAGGCATAACTAGGAAAAACACGGTAAGAGTGATTTCCATTGGGATGTTAGACATTACTGCAGAGCAGCTGCCACGCGTATCTTTCTCACTGCGGCCTGCCCTTCTCCCCTTACTGGAAGAAGGTGAAGTGTTACATTGGGAAGTTTCAGCTGGTTTAGGACCGAGCCATTAAAGTAGTCATAGTGGACATTTGATTGATCCCCATTCTTTTAGTGCATTGACTCTTCTGGTCTGTGGAGATTAGAGAGGGAATGCCTAAATTTTTATTGGCCTTGAATATGTACACTTGTAGACATAGTCTGCGACCCCCAAGAATTCAGTGAATATTTGTAGAGTTCTTTCCTACGCCCACCCACACCCTCTTCCCTCCTGTTCCTATCTTCCCTTTCATCTCTGGGACTCGTACTCCATTAAATGCATCATCGAAAATGTTATGTAGGGCCTTGACGTGTGACCCCATGAGCATTGGGACTCATCTAACCCAGCTAGCCAGACCCTGAGTTCAAACCATGTCTCTGGTGAAAGTAAAAGTGGAGACATCAGAGTTGGAGATGGCCAAGGCCCAGAACCAACTGGCTGCTGTTCTGCAGTGTCTGCTAGAGAGGAGCCACATGGACAGGGAGCAACCAGATGAGGAAGCTGGAAAGACACCCTCAGACGGCCACAAGAAGGACTGCTCCATCGCAGCTACCGGCAAACAGCCATCTACCCTCTTTCCGCACTAGAGGAGAGATGGATGATGGGCTGGCCAAGGGAGGGCCTCAGCGATCCATCATGTAGGTGATCAAGCTGTTTGACTGGAGTGTGGACTTGGCCCAGTACAGTGAGAACACCCCGCTGTATTCCATCTGTGTGCCTGGATGCGCAGCAGTCCCACCGCACAAGAGCGAGAGCGTTCACCCACCTCACCACTGCCTGAGGATGAGGAGGGGTCAGAGGTTACCAACAGCAAGAGTTGTGATGTGTACAAGCTACCTCCACCCACGGCCCCTAGAGATTCCTGCAGAACTCGGATTCCCTCCCCATTGTAGCCTGAGACCCAGGGTACCCCAGATGATGAACCTGCTGAGCCGGAGCCGGCACCCTCATCCACCGCGACATGTGGTGCTGGAAATGCATTTGCCAGCGGTGAAAGGAGGCATCCCATTGAACCAGGTCTGTTATGCATGAAGATCCTATGGGAGATTATGACCGACCGTGACATTTTCTCAGCTCCCCACCACAATAAAAATCCTCCGCCTCTTAAAAAAGAAAAGTTGTGTAAATAGAATCATATGGTAAATCCCCTTTTGGGATTGGCTTTTTCCCTCAGCACAAATCCTTGGAGAATCCCCCAGATAGCTGTGTGTCAGTAGTTCCTGTTTAGTGCTGAGTGGTATCCCGCAGTGTAGATGTCTCACAGTTTCATTTAATCTTCCTCCCAGGGAAACATCTGCGTTGTTTTCAGGTTTTGGCTATTACATCCATGTACATGTTTTTGTGTGAACAGGCTTCTATTTTTCAGGGCTAAGTATCCTCATTTTTAATGACTGCTCTTCCCTTGTTTGGAGTGACAGTAGGCCCATATTGGTAGTCATTTAAATTGCATTTGAAATCTATTTCAAACAATGTAATAATAGGAAACTTATAAATAGGCCTTTTGCACACTTATATACATAGGTTAAATTTTTAGGAATAAAATTGCTGCTTAAAAGTAGTTAGTATCATTTGAACAAATGTTACCTTCTGGTCTCTCAGAGGCTATATCAGTTTCTACTCATCAGCGGTAGATGACTGGGTCTTTTTCTTTAATCGGTTATTGAGTTTCGCTTTTGGCATTCATTGTAGGTTTTACAAGCACACATTCGTAATTGTTGCATGCTACACACGAAGGTCATTTGTGCTATAATTTCTGTGAGCTTTTGTTCACATCATGTGACTGTAAAAAATAGATTATTCGTCTTTTTATGTTAATTTGTAGATGTTCTCATTGTATCGAGGGGGAAAAAGACCTTTGTGATTACGATTTTTTTCCCCCCAAGTATGTTATTTGTCTTTTGATTTTGCACCTGGTAGGTTTTTGCCATGCTTAAAATTTTTACATAGATGAATTTATCAATCTTTTCATTTGTGATTTTTGACTTTTTGTATCAATTTAAAAGATGTCCCCATCTCAGTCTCGTGATTATAAACATGTTTTTTTTTTTTCTCTCCCACCGTGGTCTCCCACAGTAGTTTTAACTAAGTCCTTAGATATATCCAGATTTGGTTTTGGTGAGTGTATTATCCATGCCCCAGTTGCCCAACATTATTTACTAAATAATTCATGTTTTATTAGTTTTTGAAATGCTAGTGTCATCAGATACTGCATTTCCATGTGTGTTTGGTTATTTCTAATCTTTTCTTAAACTGATAACAGCTCTCTGTTTGTGTTCGGTCTTAATTTCTTATAGATTTAGATATGATAATTTTATAGGGTTTTTCTGATTTGTTATGCTTGAATGTTATTCTGTTTCATGGGTCTGTTTATTCTTATGCCAGGAATAAAGGTTTATATACTTTTTTTCTATATTACTGTAAACTTTTCATGGAAATGAGTAAAAGAATGAATCATATACAAAATAATGTATTTAGTCATGTCTTTTTAAATATTTAGTTGTTTCTAATTTTATAATTGTAAGTAATACCACAAAGACTATCTCATTCATCAGACTCTTACTATGTTTAGGACTGTTTCCTTAATATAATAGCATTGAATGAGTCACTTAGGGTACAGTATAGCAATAATGAAACCCACAACCTTCCTCTAGTTCTTAAACGCTTCCTCCCCCCAACTACCAGGACCCCAATTTTGCCTTGCAGACCTGGTTAGACCAGATGATGCACAGTGGTACAGATGGGAATTGGAAACGCAGGGAATCTAGGACAGAAGAACCTCTCAGGACCAGGGGTGACAGTGGCGATACCAGGAGGGAAAGGGGGTGTAGAAAGGGGGAATGGATCACAGGGAGCCACATATAACCTCCTCTCTGGGGGACGGGCAGCAGCGGGGTGGGTGAAGGGAGACGCTGGACAGTGTAATATAAGATATAATAATAATTTATAAATTATTAAGGGTGCATGGGGGAAAGGGGAGGGGGAAGAAAAAAAAAAGGAAAATGAGCGGATTCCGGGAACCCAAGAGGCAAGCGAATTTTGGGAATAATGAGGGCAACAAATATATAGATGTGCTTTACACAATTGATCTATGTATTGTGATGAATTGTATGAGCCCCAATAAATTGATTTAAAAAAAATAATAGCATTGAAATGAAATTGTTGGGTCACTGAGCATAAACAATTTTTTAAGTCATTTTATTGGGGGCTCATACAACTCTTACCACAATCCATACATACATCCATTGTGTCAAGCACACTTGTGCATTTGTTGACATCATCATTCTCAAAACATTTGTTTTCTACTTGAGCCCTTGGTATCAGCTCCTCATTTTTCCCCTCCCTCTCTGCTCCCCTTCCCTCATGAAACCTTGATAATTTATAAATTATTATTTTGTCATATCTTACGCTGTCCAACATCTCCCTTCACCCACTTTTCTGTTGTCCATTCCCCAGGGAGGAGGTTATAATCCTTGTAATTTGTTCCCCCTTTCCACCCCACCTACCCTCCACCCTCCCAGTATTGCCACTCTCAGCACTGGTCCTGAAGGGATCATCTGTCCTGGATTCCCTGTGTTTCCAGTGTGCATCCTCTGGTCTAGCCAGATTTGTAAGGTAGAATTGGGATCATGATAGTGGGGTGGAGGGGAGAGGAAGTCTTTAGGAACTAGAGGAAAATTGTATGTTTCATCATTGCTACACTGCACCCTGAATAGCTTGTCTCCTCCCGGTGACCCTTCTGTAAGGGATGTCCAGTTGCCTACAGATGGGCTTTGGGTCCCCAATCTGCACTTCCCCTCAGTCACAAAGTTTTGACTTTTTGTTCTGTGATGCCTGATAGCTGATCCCTTAGACAACTCATGATCACACAGGCTGGTGTGCTTCTTCCATGTGAGAGCATAAACAATTTTAAAGTGCTTAATACTTAGTGCTATGTTGTTCTTTGAAACAATAATACTAATTTAGACTACCACTAACAGTATATAAATTTTATATGGCAGATTTATTTTTATTGCCTTTTTAGATTCCTTGTGATGAAGGCTTACTGCAAGAAGAAAGTACAGATGGCCAAGACCAGCCATCTGAAGAGGAGACCAGCACCATCTCTGAATATTTTTTTAATGATATCTTTATTGAAGTTGATGAAATGGAATAAAATAGACTTTTTTTTTTTTTTTTTAAGCCTGGGGTTTCCAGAGTCAATTACATCAGCAAAGCAGTAATTAGAAGGAAACATCACTCTTTTTATTTAGGTTGATTTTGCATATTTAATAAGCTTGGTTTTGGCGCATTTATGATCAGTGGGAAACATTGTTGATTGATTCGCTGCTTTCATTCTGATTAATTCAATATTTTGAAAATGCCAAGCAATTAAGACTGTTTTCTCAGACAGACACCACACTTCTTGTGTACATTTTGACTTTTCTTGTGCTGGGCTCACAGAACATTTTAGAACGTCATGGTTAATGTCTCTGTATAAATCACAGGACCAATGTATTTGGAGATTGATTGTATTTCATGTTTATTGAACTTCTTTTTGTAAAGATTTTTTTTTAAATGATGAAGGCCTTTTCAATTGCCTCTAAGTGTATAAAAGTAAATTGTGAAACTCCATTTTAGTATGATAAATGCTAAACATTTTTCTAGCAACTGTTTTGACTGACTGAAAAATATGTATTTTTATAATTCACATCGATGTAACATTTGTCCTAATTGAAGAATTAGTATTTAAACTTATTATTTATAAAGATGAAACATCAAAGAGCCTATTTATTTTTAAATTTTTTATTTAAGAGGATATCCAGTCTTAATTATTTTCATCTCGCAGATTGTGGGTCAGAAGGCATTAACAAGTTTATGTTTGTTTCCTTACCCTCTTTAATTTTAAAGAGATTGTAAGTGATACAGCCCAGTATGTGGACAGTGTATATGTTTTGAATACATTTTTCTCATAGTATATGGACTTTGTACTGTGAAACTTTGTTTTTCTTATTTTGTAGATAATCTCAGGATTGGCATGAAGGGGAAAACCTTAATTTCTATGAGGCAAATTTCCTTACAAAATTAATCTATTCCTTTAAAAACAAACAAACAAACAAACTACAATTAATTTTTTGATCCCCCCCAATTAAATTCTGCACACAGAACTCTTAGGTCTTTAAGTACAGAACTTAATTGTGATGTTTAAAACAGAAAATAAAATAACAATTACGGTTGATAAAATTAGTGATTGTCAGCAATATGAATTTAAGGCAGTTTACAAATGTAACTCTAGTATTTATCCCCAAACAAACCTTCAGAAGTTCAAAGAAAAGTTCTAAAAGAGCTGTCTTTATTGTCATTTTATTGGGAAACTTCCTGGGTTCATAATCTGTAGTAGGAATTGGCAACTTTTTCTGCAAAATATTTTTGGCTTCAGGGTCATATCTGTGGCAACTCAGCCCCGCCACTGTGTGAAAGCAGCAGTAGACGACAACACTTAAACACAAACGGCTATCCCTGGGCATGAGCTGTCTTTTGCTGAAGCTTGCATTAGAGAGTCATTTTCTTAATATATGGTGCTGAAGTCTATGTGAGTCATAAGTTGTGCCTAAAATGGTTGATTGCATCATGAAATTATAAGTAGTTCATTTGAAAATGTATTTTAAAGTCTATGTAATTGTGTTTGTATATTATAAAAAGGTGGACAATTTTCATGTTCATTAGGAAAATAGGGTATGAATAGCAAGTTATAACAGTATTTTTAATTTATTGAAATTATTGCTATTAGAGCATTCTCATTCATTGTTTTATAGTGACATTTAATTTTTTGGTCATTAAAGAGTATAAGTCTAAGTGAAAATTCTCTATAGGTAGTCATATATTTCATGTGATTAACATGTCCCTCAAAAAATCATGGTATACAGTAAGTCATATTACTGTTTTAATGCTCTGTGTTTTAAAAATCCCATTTTGAAAAAGTTTGTTTTTCTTAATATTGAGTTTAGTACTAGATTGCCACAATTGAACTTTTACTTTATCCCCTGTATGGTATTTATTTTTTAACTTTGTTCATATCTGTCATTTGCTCATCTATAATAAATTTTATGGAAAATGTAATTTTTACTGTATATAAAGAATGGTTTTATCTTTGAACATTGTATTAGAGAATCAAGTCAGCCAGTTAAATTATCCTGTTATAGTTTTAAAACTAATATCCTAGAAAGGAAAACTTCATCAGTGTGTTTACCCTGCATGGGGGAAAGACTGTTCACCTCATGTTTTCAGATTCATACAAAGATGTTGCAGAGAATTTGTATTTTATTAAAAAGGAGCTATGATTAAAAATCTTTCCTGACTTTCCCTCTTGAACCTTTAACATCTAGCAAATGGTCAACACGATGATTTAAAACCCTGACTGTTGGTAAATGATCGAGACAGAGATAAGAATTTCCGTATCCACAGTTTATCACCATGTTATTTCAAATAGAAGTGACCACCCACAGCATCCTGCTTGAAGAAGTATTTGACAATAAAGCAATACCTGTCACTTGTAAGTTTTCTTGTTCCAAAGAAAGCAGTTATGTTCTATAGATATAAATTATGTAAATAAAGACTTTTATATCATTTATGTTTTTTCTTGTACAAGACTAAATAAAGGTATTTATGTACAGCTAACTGATACTGGTTATGTTTTTGAATTTTATTCCAACTGCAGTATATCTTTGCTTTCTTTCATACAAATGTGGTACAACTGGAAGGATTCATTTTTATTCTGACCTGCTATGACGGACTGAAAAAAAATCTTTGCTGAGTGAAAGAATAGGTTCTCCTTCCCCATTTGGGACATGTGAAGATTGCTTAATCTTTTGTTTATCACTCTATATAATGAATTTCTAGATATGAGAACCTGATTTCTTTCACTTTTTTTCTTTTCTCATTCTTTTTCTCTGTAGAGAAGACCAACTTTTCACTATGTGCCTGTCTGGCTGGAAAGTGATCTTCAGGAGTGGGTTCAGGTCCATGTTTGAAGGTGATCAAGACCATAGTCTCAAATTCCACCCATTGTTACCAAACCAGTAAGCCTGGTCTTTTTTATGATTTGGAATTTTGTTCATTTTTACTCACGCTGTGATCTAGAGTCACAGGTGTTGGTAGCCCAGCACCATCTTGTTCTTTTTGGCCCCAGGTGGTGGAAGCTGTGCTTTGAGCATCCCGTTCGTCTTTCAGATTTGCTTTCGCGTGTTTGATTTTCTTCAGTTGTTTTTGCTCACATTGGGAGGAGACCAATAGTTGTCTCTTAGACAACCGCTTGCAAATGTTTGAGACCTCAATTGTTATTTAGCAAGACTGGATGTAGAACATTATCTTTATGGACTAGTAGGCCACTTGACCTTCATGTCACTTGAGACTATCATCGTAAACTCTCAAGCCCACTGACTTAGTCCTTTAAGATGTTTGCTTACGGCTAAGAAGTTTTCTGAACTTGACCCCTTGGGATTCATTATGTTCTATATACATGGGTAAGGAGCCCTGGTGGCATAGAGGTTATGTGTTGGCCTGTGATCCACATAGAGGTTATGTGTTGGCCTGTGAGTAGTTCAGAAACTACCAGCTCCTCAAGAGAAAGACTGGCCTTTCTACTCCAGTAAATAGTCTTTGAAACCCACAGGGGAGTCAGCATTGACTATCGATGGCAGTGAGGTTGTTTTTAAAAAAAATTTTTTATATATGGGTATATAAGGGAGCTCCAAAAAGTTTGAGGAAAAATGAAATTAAATGACCATGAAATTGTCCCATGACATTTTGAAGCCCCCTCATAAGCTTCTTATTTGTAGCACATACAAATACACATGTAAAATTCCTCTGCCAAATCGGTGTATACTTGCAGGAGTACTCCCATACTCGGTCTCACTTCATTTATCATTGGCATCATAGGATTGTGGCCGTCGTAGCATTTCTCTTCACTGCCTTGCACTCTCACTACTTCTCTGTCTTCCTTTGCTTGGTGTGTGGTGCTGAGCTCTATTGGGCTTTGCCTTTCCCTCCTCCCTTCCTCGCTGTCTTTGATCAAAGAATGTTTCTTTTTGTATGGAACCTTTGCTTTGACTTTTTATAATATTGTTTTCATAAAATATATGTCCTTTTGTGAATGATTTATTTAACTTAATATCCTCCAGGTTCTATACTGTGAGATAGCTCATGGATTCCTCTCATTCTTTAATGTTGCTAATGTATTCATCCAGTGATTTACATTGTTTACGTTCTTTTTGGGGGGTGTTGGCAAGATGATTTAAAACTAATTTCCAACTGTCTAAATTTAAAAAAATTAACTTTCAGAACAGCTATTATTTATAATTTGGAGTTAATGGCAGTGTGATGTTTTTAGTTTATTATTTTTGCACTATACTAAGCTCTTCGAAAATAATAACAGTATTACAAATGAACTAAGAAGTCAAATAATTCTAAAATATTTCCCATCCCTCAAAAAACTTTTACATATTGTTGCTTACCTATTTCTAACATTCTGATCCCTTATTTACAAATGATGTTAGACCTGATTGCATATTTGTTCAATTTCAGACGGCAGAAATTGGTAACATTACTCAATTTCTTCATCACTAGTTTTAGTGGATGGCGTGATAGTTAGGTTTATTGTGCCAACCTGGTCAGTAGGACCATGTGGGCAGAGATTAATCAGGTCAGTTTGATTAGAGGGCAAAGAGATAAATGGCTCTGCAAGGCCTGCCCCGATCTCTCTTGCTCTTTGGTGATCAGACCAACTGATCACTGCTGTTTTAGCTAGTTCTCTGCCTCAACCTGTGTGCTACAGTACCTGTGGATCATGTTGCTACAGCTTGAGGCTACTTCGAGACCTGCTTTGCCACACTGCTGGTGCTTAACATCGCTTGAGCTTGAGGCTGGTGGATCCTCTCGCCTTGCATTGCTTGAGTCTGATAGTGCTACTGACTGTTGCTGATCCACCCTGCTGTCTGCTGCCTGAGGGCAAACTGCCTGTTTTGCCTGAGGGAAAACTCCACTGTCTGCTTCCTTGACCTTGGACAGAAACCGCCTCTGTGAGTTGAACTGTTCCACAAAAGTGTGTTGAACTGAGCCCTCTGTACTGCTGTGTGGACTAATTAGCTGTTACAGTCCTTCTTGCTGTATAAACCTATCCTTTTATATACATATATAATCACTGTGTAAATGTGATCAGTTGCATTAACTGGAATTTTTGTTGTTGAATTGTTAGGCACCATGACTCAGTGATTCACTGTGCAATAGAAGGAAATGCTGCCTAGTCCTACACCTTCCTCATAATTATGTTTGAGCCCATTGCTACAGCCAATGTCGATCCATCTCACTAAAGGTCTTCTTCTTTTTCACTGCCTTCTACTTTACCAAGCATGATGTGCTTTTCCAAGAATTGGTCTTACCTGTTCACCACTGGTGAATACAAGTATATTCCAACTCATAGGGACCTTATCATTTTATCACCATATTACCTTACCATAGTTCTTCTCACAGCTAAATATTTTACTTGTTTTGTTATCGTGCCAGCTGTGTAACATGTCAGGTGCCCCGCCTCTCTCCTATATCCCCAGCACCTCAAACGCACTGATAACATGTTACCCACTGCCAACCAGCTGATTCTGTCACCTAGCCACCGTATATCATGTTTCTGACACTTTACACCCTTGACCTTGTGGTTAATAGTCAAACATTACCAGCCAGCGCCACCAGGTGCTGGGGAGGCGGGGCGGGTGGAGGCATAATAAGTAAGGGGGGGATTTTTTGTTTAATATCTGAATAAGGAAACAATTTTTCCAAAGAGTTTTATTTCTGAGACCCATCAAGCACTTCTACTGGGTAGATCTTGAGTCACAGCGAAACTGTCGGGCAGAGTAGCACTGCTCCCTGCCTCATCTTCCTTCCTCAGGGCCGGTAGTGGGCTTAAACAGCTGACCTTACAGTTAGCAGCCTACTCGGTACTGATATTAAAACGTGCTGTCTCACATCCCAGAGTGCCCTTTTTAATATTAGAGAAAGCAGGAAACAACACCGAAGATGAATCGTGCCCGATTCCAGTAAATCTCAACTCGCTCTGCTCACAGCCGCCGAAGGCGCGGGCCTCAAGGATCCCGGGACAGCACCCGGGCACAGAACGCGCCCAAGCTCGCGATGGGACAGATCCTCGCGGGTTTGCGCCGCTCTTCTTTATTGGCTGAGCTCGGGGGCGTGGCGAGCGGCGCTGACCAATCGCCTGTGGCTCTCTTGGGCACGTGCCGGGGCTGGCCTGGGACCCTGAGCGGAGCCCGTGGGCCGTCTGCCGCTGCAAGGACGCGAGAGTAGCCGGATCCAGCGGACAAGGTCCCGGACGGGAAAGCGCCGGCCCGGACCAGCCTTGGCCGCGCGCTCGCGCCTCCCTCCCCCCTCCGTGCCTGCCGCCATGTGGGCCGCCCTGAGGTTAACAAGCCTGCGGCCTTGCGCCCGCGCCGCCGCCCCCCGTCTGCGAGCCTACCACGGGGACTCGGTGGCCACGCTGGGCTCCCAGCCGGATTCGGGTTCTGCCATCTACCAGGTAGGCTGGGTGAGCGCCCCAGCAGCCCGGGCCTCGAGCCCCCGGCCTGAGCCCATGATCGATCCCCTTTCCTCCGCCCGGGACGGACAGGAGTAGGCGCTGTCGGCCACAGAAAAGCAGATGCGGGGTGGGGCCACGCTCACAGCTGTGGCTGTTTTCTCTGGAGCCCCTTCCATCGAGATTCAGGGACGCACTAGGGTATCGTGAAGTTCGAAAACGAAAAAAACGCTAAAGCATATTATATATGTTTTAGTTCGCTTTTAGAACTGGCCCGGCTCCCCGTAGCTCTTTGAAATCAGTGGTTCTCAAGATTTGACTTGCCACTTGGGGAGTGTGTTGACCATACCCTGTTGTTTGCATTGCTAATGAAATCATGGAGGGGTTAGGGAGCAGCTAGCTTTGGGAACCACTGAGCCTGCACACCTCCCTCTGGATCGCCTTGCTTATAGACTTTAAATATTTGGTTATATTGATCGAAATCACTCCGCATTACCTTTGAGTGCCTTTTTTGAAAGTTAGAAAGTATCACAAGGTCAAAGAAACAACTCACAGTTAATGAGTTCTCAGAGCTGGAATATTTCGCAGTATCCCCCACTTGCTAAGCGGATTCAGAGGAGACATTTTAAGGACCTGTGTTTGAGGAAGCAAGGAGCTGCAAGAAAATCAAGCCGAGATCATCTCCAGCGAAATTTCTTGGGATCAGGAGAGAATGCTTAATTCAGAAACTTTAAGCGGCTTTTGTGGTCCTGTTACTTGTTATAGCTGTGGGCGAATGGAACTCATAGTTGAGCAGAAACAGACAATAAAACAGGCAGCCATGGCCCAGCATGATAAGTAATGTCGAGGTTTAGAAGAGGCTCAGGGAAGCTACAGATGGCAGTAGTGCAGTGAATCTGATGGTTGGGTAGGAGTCGTGGGTTGAGGGTGGAGGATGAGGGGAGGCGCTACAAACCAAGAAGTTGACAAGAATGTAGGTACTGGTTATGAAAGTACAGGGTGAGGAGGAGGACTTGAAAGGCATTAATGCTTGTGCCAACGTCATAGAGTTATGGAAATAATTAACACTTGCTTAGACTAATGTCTACAATGTAGTAAGCTCTCAAGAAAGACCGGTGCTTGTTACTTTTTCTCTTCTCCTTAGGTCAATATGTGATCTGCGCAGCTAGCTTTTGCCTCCGGAATGCTATGCAGCAAACATCTCAACTCTCATTGTCCAAAAGAGCAAATGTTTATTTTTCTCTCATAGTTCTGTGGTGACTCCGTTCCAAGCAATTCATCAAATTTAGATCTGCTCTACTTAGTTCTTATTCCTGGACTCAGGTGAAGGGGCAGTGGCTTTGGGGGGGTAGGAGAAGTGACCTTATGGTGGAGATTAGGGGGGGCCAGAGGAGAGAGGGAACTACATGGAAACACAGGGCTCTTTGAAAGTCGGCTTGGAATTTGGCATATTGCCACTTTTGCCCACCCCCCACTGGTCAAAGCAGGCAAAACAGGAAGATGCAAACTCAGTCACTCCTTGAGTGGATGCTGACTCAGCGACCCTAGAGGACAAGGTAGAGCTAACTGCCTCTGTGGGTTGCCAAGACCAAAATTCTTTATGGGAGTAGAAAGCCCAGTCTTTCTCCTGAGGAGTGATGGTGGTTTCAAACTGCTGAGTTAGCAGCCCAACACAAACCCAGGATGCCACCAGAGCTCCTTCAAAGACTGAAGTGGGGAACCTTGGCAAGGGTGGGAGAGAAGGGAAGTTTTGAACAAGTATGTAATACAGTCTACCCATGGTCCACGATGGCTGCTTAAGCTCCAAAGCATTGTATCTGAGTTTCAGAAATAAGTAGGTGACAGGGTGAGTAGGCAATAGTGTACTGTCACTTGGCTTGTCTTCTTTTTAAGGAACCCACCCAGAAGTCATATCTCACAACTTCTGCCTATATTTCACGAGTTCGAATGGGGTTCCAAGGACACCCCTGTGACAGGATTCCAACAGGTTCATGGAAAAAGAGAATGAAAAGAGAACGATTCTTCTCCGTGAAGTTTTGTTTGTACCGCATGTTACCTTTTCTAGCTCGGGGCTCTGCCACCTGAAGGAAACTGATATTCCATTATTAAAGAAGACAGGGTGTGGACAAGCAGATACTTGTCTCTACCACAGACAGCATGGCGAGAGCGGTGTGTTTCCCTTAAGCTATCTGAGGTGCTACACAAGATCCCTTACGTGCGCCTCCTGGAGATCTGGGATCTCCAGCTTCAAGCAGTTAACTTTGATGCAGACGCACCTCCTCTTAAAAGGGGAGCAAAGGATACGGCATTGCCATGGATTGAGATTGGATTGGCACAGAGAGATTCTATTTCCTGGAGTCCTGACCACATTCCACTTTGTCAGTTTCCCTGATCTCCTATTTAGAACAGTAGTATAGTACTGCCTACTCTCTCTTCTTCCACCACCGTGGACAAAGGGGCTTCAAAAAGTTCCTGGCCAAATGGAACGGAAAGATAATGGAATTTTTTCTGGGATCCTTTTGAAACCTCCCCGCACTTCAGAAATCCTTGGTCATTAGTGCCTGTTTTCTGTTTCTTAACTGGGAGACTGACTTATGTGGGTCAAAGATCCCTTATAGAGCCAGCTCTGATCCTGATTGGTGCTCTTCTACATTGGGAAATGTAGTTGGCAATTGTACTCCGGGATTTGGGTCCTCTTTCACAGAGGTGCCCGGACGAAGGATGAGGAGATCTGCTGCTGTAAAGATTGACAGCCGTGGAAGCCCTCCATAGGGTCACTATGAATCAGAGTCGGCTCAGTGGTGGTGGGGTGTGTGTGTGTGTGTGTGTGTGTGTGTGTGTGTGTGTGTGTTCAGAGGTTTGCTTGCTTTCCCTGTGTGTATGTGAGCTGTTTTTGCCAGCTCTGAAGCTTGGTGTCTGATTGCAAAGTTGGCAGACTAGGAAATAGAGTGACGTTAGAGGGCATGAAATTTTGATTGATGTGGGAGGGGATCGAAGTGAAAATAAACGTTGACCTGAATCTCAGCTTCTAGACTCTCCAGGGGGAGAAGGACTGTGTCGTCGTGATCTAGTCCTGTGATACTGTACAAGCAATGCCATGAGTAGATAGATGCCTTTAACAGCACTTACCTTCTCACAGTTGGTTGTCAGGTACTGCAGGGTCTGTCCTGCCACCGAGCAACCCTGTGTACAATAGAGGTGAGCTCGGCCTTGTTCTGGGACATCCTGACAGCCCTGTGTTTGAGTCCATCGCGGCAGCTCCCGTGTCCATGGGCTTTCCCTTTGTCATTGGCCTTCTGCTTTCCCACTGTGATGTCCTTCTCCAGAGACTGGTCTCTCCTGCCAGCATGTCTAATGGATGTGAGATGAAGTCTTGCCATCCTTTGCCACACAGGGGCATTCTAGTTATACTTCTTCCAAGCAAATGTGTTCATCCTTCTGGCATTTCATGGACTGTCCCGTATCCATAAGCCACACCGCAATTCAAACGTATCACGTCTTCTCCGATCATCCTTCTTCGTTGTCCGGCTCTCACATGCGTCTGGGGTGATGGAAAAGATCATGGGTTGGTCAGGTGCACCTTCGTCTTCACCTGACTTCTTTGCTTTTTTAGCACTGTATTTTTTGGGGTGAGGTTATTACAATAAAGCTTGATAGATGAAGAAATTTGAATTCACATAATTTTGAGGGGTCATGAAATATTTCCCCTCCAACCCTTTAGAAGCTGCAAAACACCATTAAAAAAATCATTTTATTGGGACCTTTTACAGCTCTTATCACCATCCATCCATCCATTGTGTCATGCACATTTGTACATATGTTGCTATCATCATTTTCAAAACATTTTCTTTCTACTTGAGCCCTTGGTATCAGCTCTTCATTTTTGCCCTCCCACCCCCCTCCCTCAGGAACCCTTGATAAATTATAAATTATTATTTTCATACCTTACGTTGTCCGCTGTCTCCCTTCAACCACTTTTCTGTTGTCCGTCCCCCAGGGAGGGGGTTATATGTAGATCCTTGTGATCGGTTCCCTCTTTCTTCCCCACCTTCCCCTCCTGGTATTGCTACTCTCATGATTGGTCCTGAGGTTTTATCTGTCTTGGATTCCCTGTGTTTGCAGCTCTTTTTTGTACCAGTGTACATGTTCTGGTCTGGCTGCATTTATAAGGTAGAATTGGGGTGCAAAAACCATTCTTAGCATGTGGATTTTTCAAAAGCAGGGCTGATCGTGGGAAACGTGAGCTTCATTTGGACCACTCAGTGAGGAGAACTGACAGGCTTTTATGGCCTTTCTGCAGGACCAAAATCCCTTAGGAATGCCCACAATGCACTTTAGGAATTGCTAATATTTGAGATCTGAGCTTCTGTTACGTACGGTCTGTTCCCTGGTTGCTCACTGAATTAAGCTGGAAGATAGATTTCCCTGAGACCAGTTTGAAGAGGGTTGTCAAATCAGTTAGTTACATGATAGTTGAATGGAACCATGAAGGTTGACAAGCAACCAGCTTCTTGGTACAACAAATGTAGATGCAGGTGTGAGAGTGGAGGTGGGCAACAGTGTTAGTACTTCCTCTTTGCATCCTGGTTTTTGTGGTTTCCTGTTGCTTTTCACATTTTATAGGCATCTTTTGTAGTAGGTTTGCCTTTGATTTCCTGACTGGGGCTTCCATGAGCATCAATTGTGGATTCAAGCAAATGAAATCTTTGGCCATGCCAATCTTTCCTTGTTTATCATCATGTTGTTCATTGGTCCAGCTCAACAGTCATCTTTATATTGAGATGTAACCCATACCCCATGTCTTCAGTAAGTGCTTCAAGTCCTCTTTGCTTTCAGCAAGTTCTGGTGTCATCTGCATATTGCTGCTGGTTAATGAGCCTTTCTTCAATTCTGTTGCTTCATTCTTCATATCTAGTTTCTTTGATTATTTGCTCAACAGGGATTGAAAAAGACTGATGTCTACCGTTGTTGACTCTGCCAAAGAACTCTCCATAATCCTTTTTGTAAGACTGGTCTTTTTCTTACCAAGCCCTTTAGTGTCTCCTTTCTTGGAAATGCTCTTATTTCAAAATCGAGGACAAATTGCTGACTATAAATTCTTGGTTGGCTTCTTTTTCCCCCCAGAGTTTTATGTCATCCCATTTCTTTCTTCTCAGCATGGTTTCTGGTGAAAATTCTAAATTTATTCTTACTAATAAGTTTTCTTTGTCGGTGACTCCCCCCCCTCCACTCCCCCGCCCCCCACACCTGCATCCCAACGCTGCTCTCAGGAGATCGGAAAGTTTGACTCCAGTATGTTAACAGTGATTTTCTTTGGGGTCTGTCCGGGCTAGGGCTCTTCCAGTCTCTTGTGGTAATTTCCACCACTTTCCTGATGGTCAACAGCTCTTGAACGATTTTCTCCGTGGTTTTTTTTTATGTCTTTTTATCTGACGTTCCTCGCACATGTACGACATTCCTCTTGATCGTGCCCCACATAATTATTAGACTTTCTTCAGATATTTGGCTTGTTTTTGTGGCTTGTGCTTGTCATTTGGTATTGAGAGACTTGTTTCAAGCTTACTAATTCTTCCCTTCATGTGTCAACTCTACTGCTGAGGCAAACTGACCAAAGTGATGCCATTTTGTTGACTGTTAGATGACCTGCGTGCTCACCCTTCCCTTCTTGGAAGTCCCGCTAATGATTGATTTTAGAATGGACTCTTGTGTTCCCAAGATCAGGACATTATAATTAATCTCGTTATTCTTCAATATTGTTCCTTTTGATAAATGGTTCTCAACCTTCCTAATGCCGCAACCCTTTAATACAGTTCCTCAGGTTGTGGTGATCCCCCAGCCATAAAATTATTTTCGTAGCTACTTCATAACTGTAATTTTGCTACTGTTATTAATTGGGCAACCCCTGTGAAAGGGTCGTTTGACCCCAAAAGGGGTCCCGACCCACAGGTTGAGAACTGCTGCTTTTGATGTTGTAATCCGAAGGTTGTGATTAATTTTTATTCTTCCATATTGTTCCTTTTTGACGTTATAATCAATCCTGTACCCTGCAGTGCTCACTTAATCTAAAGAATGATAACGTTAATTTTGCTTTCTGTGTTTGCCATACCTGCTCACTCTATGGGAAAGCTCCTGATAAGTGGGATTTGCCTTATCTCTCTACTCTGCACTGCAGTCTGAAGGATCACTTTAGAATTTTTTTTTTTCACATTAGATTCTTGCAGTCCAGTTAATCTAATAAAGACTCTTCTTAATTTCAAGACATTTTAGTGGCTGTCATTTACTTGAACCTGCAACATGGCTTTGCTCTTTCAATTTATTACTTCTAATATGTTGGTACTTCTAGATTTCTGTTTGCTGTATTTATTTGATTTACAATTTTTCATTTATTTAGTCAGAGTGCTCTTGTAATGTTTTCCTGTGGGGGGTGTGTGTGTGTGTATTTGTTGACGAAGTGGTTCTGGGTGGGTGGTGGTCCTTGTCCACCCTAAGCCACCATGGTTGTTGGGCTTACAGCCTTGGAGCCCAGAATGCATACATCTCACTGTTCTGCTGGTTTAAAAACAGCCCTCAACTCAAAGTCTGTCTGTCTTATAGAGCTGTTTCAAGAGGTATAAGAAGTTAAGGATACATTCCTAAGAAGCCTAATTACCACCCCAGGAGCTCCCAAGACCAGAGGCCTCTCAAATCATACTCTCTGCGGTCGAGTTCATTCTGACTCACAGGAATCCTATGGGTTATAAGATGGTGGTAAATCTTTAGGGGAATAAAAAGCCTTCTGTTTCTTCTGTGGAGTGAACGGGAGATTGGAACTGCTGACCTTGTAACCCACTATGCCCCCAGGGCTGCTGCACAGAGGCCTCTCTAAATGCAAAATGAACTCACTGCCGGCAGGTTGATTCTGACTCCTAACAAGCGACCCTACAGCACAGAGCAGAACTGCCCCTGGGTTTCTGTTCCTGTGACTCTTGATGAGACGAGAAAGCCGGCATTCAGTCCCCTTATCCACGTCAAGGGACGTTCTACAAGCTCTTCTAACACCACAGCTTGGTGATGGCTGCAAGAAGTGTGGCCCAGAGCTTTGTTTTTGTATGAGATGGTTTACAAGGAGTTTCTGTCTTTGCTTAATATGAACAAAAGCATCTCAACTTGGGCTTAATCATGGAGCAAGTTCTTAACTTCCCCTGCCTCACGCCCTTAATACCAATAATAGATACTGTGATCATCATTGAAAGACAGGGAAAGTATCCCATACCAAACCTGTTCTTTGGGGTATCTTTCCAGTTTACCCTTGATAAAAACCCAGAGATGGAAATATAGGTTGGTGCCCCTTTATTTTGGCTGTACATTAGAATTACATTCCAACAGGGACTTCCTAAAGATCTTACTTAATGCTTAGATCATCCCCAAGATCAATGACATCAGAATCTCTGGGTAAGAGGGAGGAACAGACATAGGCTCCCCCCCCCTTAAACGCCCCAGTGACTTCAGTGTGCAGCCAGTCAGACCCCACAGGTGGGCCGTGACCCAGCAAAGAACAGAGTAGTGACATATCGTCTTGGGCTTTATTGTGATAAAAAGGAGATGGTTTCTTACTATTTTCTCTGTTTTGTTTCTATTTCAGGAAAACTATGAACAGATGCAAGCACTAGTAAATCAACTTCACGAGCGAGCACAGCATATAAGACTGGGTAAACAGCAATTATCCTTTCATTTATTTTTCTCAATGAAGATGTCTGCATAGTTACTGGTTTCAGGAAAGCCAGGCAGCATTAAGCGTTTAACTCTTCACCACATTTGGTACTATATTGGCATTTTATTTCCACTTCTATTACTGTCAGATTCCCGCCCCCCCTCCCTGCTTCTATAGCATTAGCTCTGTTTAGGATGAATTAGAAACTAAAATTAACCAAACTTTTAACAACACAACCCTGAAATTTTTTGTTTTACTTTAAGCGACTAAAACGTTTCCTGCTCTTCAGCCATGCTTGTGCCAGACACTGAATTTTGCACAGAATTTTCTGCGTGTTCTATTGTAGTGCCAGAGCGAGATTAAGCCACACACAATTTTAATTAAAGTTGAGAAACTGCATTAGCTGGCGGTCCAGGCGAGAGGCTAGTTCTTCATCGACCCTGAGTGCTTCATGAGGGGAGTTTCTAAACCGTGGATGAAACAAGGCACAAGGGCAGGTGGCGTCGTGCTAAATGGACCAATAGGAACTTATGGAAATGAAACGGGGTTTACAGCAACATCAGCACTTTCAAAACTAAATACAATGGGTCAACAGTTACAGAAGTTACTAAAGGAATTAGAGTAGCTACAAAGTGGCCACACTTGGGTCGATACAAAATGGTTACACTCAGACTAATTAATACAACATATTAAAGGAGCTGTATTAAAGGGCTGCAGCATTAGGAAGGTGGAGAACCACTGCTATAGAGTATTAGGGAGGAAGACAGCTCAGCATCTGGAATCAAACCTTTCTGGACCAGACAATTTAGTGTTTGGGTCTTGAGAGCAGACAGTGTGGCATTTTGGCCCTGGTTTTGAGAGTGGGGCAAGACAACCTGAGAGGGATTGCCTGGCGCCCTGTGGTGAGACCAGTCACACTGAGACTCAGGGAGGTTTCCGGGATGGAAAGTAAGAACTTTGTTCTTGGAGGAAAGGTGAGCCTGGCCCCTCCTGCCCTCCCCCTGCCTAGTAGGTGTACTTGACCCTGGAGCAGTTCCGCTTGGAATGCCTAAACCGTGGCTCACCTGCTGACACCTGATGTGCACCCCACCCCCTCGTGGTGACATTAGAGGGCACTCCGCTCACTTTGTTTGTTGCCATGAGCATACTTTTCTAGTTATTGTTTGCTGTTGACCTTTCATCATGGAATTGTTACACATTGTGATCGACTTTCATATTGTGAAGAGAGCTAACTTTTGCCAGAGCGTCCTGAGGCAGCGTCCTTGGAGAGAACATTGCTACTAGTTGTGGCAGTTCAGGAGCTTGGCCCGTGGTAAAATCTTGCAGGTAGGGAGCTGGACTGGTCTTGCTGTTCTAATAACGGAGCAGTTTTTCATTCATGCATTTGTTCTGTCTGGTGTATTTTCAGTAGCTCATAACTTGGGACAGAGGAGTAGCTCGGAATGATAGGCAGTCCTTGTAAGCAGGCTCTCCTGTGTAACAGATCAATCACAATTCATTGGAAAGGGCAGAAAATAATTCCGAGCATTCATTTGGAATATTGGAGTCGCTGTCTTTTTTACTATAGCAGTTTAGTCAAAATCAACCACACCCCTGAAATCCTTCACCAGGACATGAACAGATGTCAAGCAGTGATTCGTTGAAGCCAAGACTTCATTCAGATGGTATTACTTGCTCCTTTCTACCAGGAGCGTTTAATAGGGAGAGGTTTTCTACTCCTGTAAAGAGTTATAGTCTCAGACACACACAGGGCTAGTTTTACCCTATCATATGGGGCCCCTGTGCCTTGATTGAAGTTGTTTTATGTAATTCATATATCTGGTTGTTGAACTCAATTCATTCAAAATTATGTTCAAACACCGAAAATGTCAAGAACTGAGCATATTTTCCCCATAAGAAATAATTAAAAATCAAATAATTGGTTCCGAGGCCCCAAATTTACACTTGTAAATTATTTTTCCAGGACTTTAATACAATGCTAACAGCTGTAGATTGGTGAAATACTCCCTAAGACACCTAAACACAATAAACAAGTACATTAACTATCAGAACACAGCGCTGGAAGTAAGCCCCACTGGGGCAGTTCGACTCTGACAGAGCGTTGCTGAGTCGGCATTGGATCCTTGTCTGATGGGCTGAGTGCAAGAAGAGGCTCGGAGTCTTTTTAATGAGTCACAGCTGCGTGTGCAGCAAGTGAAGGTGATGGTGATGAAGAATTTGTTGCAAGTGGGAGTTGGTCCAGTCCATTCACAGCGAAGGGCAAGTTTACATAAGGTTACAGGGCAATATGAGTGGTCCATAGTCAGCTGCTCATGACCTGGGGTTCCTGTATATTGAGGGATCAGGGATCTATAGACTGAAGAAAACAAGTCAGTTTGTTTACTTAAGAAATTTGGCCGGGGCCAGCCCCAATCCCAACTATGTGGCACACCCCTACCCCCCC